CTCCAGGGACCCCGAGGACAGGAAGGCACCACCAGGGGACGCCTGGGTCCCCGAGGACAGGAGGGCACCTACAGGGATCTCCAGGGACCCCGAGGACAGGAGGGCACCTACAGCGATCTCCAGGGACCTCGAGGACAGGAAGACACCTCCACCACCCGGGAGTGCCCAGGACCCTGAGAAGAGGACAGCACTGCTGGGGGGCGTCGGGGACCCCGAGGACGGTCCTAGGGCAGAGTGCAAGGGTGCAGAGGAACACAGAGTGCAGTCGGCTCGCCATTGTGCTGCCACAGGAAATGGGCTCCTGGGAGAGACTTGGCCCCCAGAACCTTGCTGGCACCGTTTCTTGACACCCGGCGAGTCCTCCAAACACAAGAGCCGAACTGCAGAGGGGGGCGTCTGGGAGGAGAGGCCTGGGCAGCAGCCCCCAACAGAGGTGCCCGTGCCTGCTGGGCCAGAGGAGGCCTTGGGCGCTTGCCCCGCGCCTGCAGAGGCCCTGCTCTGTGCTTCACAGGACGCTGCAGCAGTGGGCACCAGGAGCCGAGCCGGCAGAGCCACCGGAGGGGGTCCCCTGCCCAGGGACGCAGCCTGTCGTCCCACACCCTGCGGGAGCCCGGCAGGGGGCCTCCCACCGGCAGCACACAATCTCGCTGCTGTGGCATCTGCCCCTTGGTGCCTCACGGGGCCAGCTCCAGAGCAGGAAGCCAGGCCTGCCCAGGAGAGAGCCCCCGGCCAGGCAGAGAGCTTGGGGCCCACACAGGGACGTGTGGGGAAGCCAGAGGAGGGTGCCACAGGGCACGAGAGGCCACACCAGACTCAAGAGCCAGACGGTTCTGGAAAGAGAGGGGCAGCACCAGGGGGCGAGAAGGCTGGGCTGTGTGCAGCAGAGTCCCGGGCACAGGCTGCTCAGGACCGGGCAGGAGGACAGAGGGCAGCAGCCATGGAGAAGCCCTGCCAGCCCAGGGCCAGGGGCCAGGAGCGGCCACTGGGCCCCTCAGTGAAGCAGGTGAGGAACCTGGCTCAGGAAGGTGGCCCCAAGGCTGACAGGAGCCCGGCCACTCCCTCAGGGACGCCTGGGGCGTCCTGCAGCCTGACCACACAGGGAAGGGTCGGGGGCATGGTGTCCCAGGCCTGGGGGCAGCCTGACGGCTCAGCTGACAGAGCACGTGCCGCAGGGGCCTGTGGGGAGCCCCAGAGGCCGACGCACAGGGCCAGTGGCCAGGGGGGCCCCAGGGCCCCGCCCCCCACCCCAGGAAGCAGGCTCCTGGCCGGGGGGAGGGCGGCAGCCTCTCGCCCGGAGCCCGCAGGCAGCTCTGCCCAGCCCACACCTGATGCTGGGGGCTGCCCAGTCCCCCAGCTCCCAGCCCAGACGGGGCTCCCAAACACACCCGGGGCCCAGAGAGACCTGTCCCAGGGTGGCCACCTCAGGTCAGAGCCCCTGGCAAAATACAAAGCCCAGAGCTTCAGCAGCCAGACGGCCTTCGATCTGTCCTTCAGGCCCACCTTGCTCAGGGCCAGTGATACCTTCGAAGCCCCACAGTGAGCCTGGCCGTGAGCCGCCACCAGCCCCCGCATGGGGCTGAGGTGGCTTCCTGCCTGTGACGTGCTGAGCACCTCCCCCACAGACCGTCCACCCTGCCCTCTCCTGCCCAGGCCCCTGGTCTTGGGAGAGGAGTGTGGCAGGTGGCCTGTCCCTCCCGAGGCCCGACAGCTTCCCTGGGCTCTGAGGCTCCTTTTCAGAAGAGCCAGGTGCCAGCTGCTGCCCTCGCGAGGTCCTTGTGTTGATGTGCACTGTCACTGGGAATGTGCCAGCACTCGCTCCTGACCTGGCGGGTGGGCGGCCTTCCCTGCCCTTCACCGTACTCTGGCGCCCTCTGCTCCCCTCCCGTGTCTCTGCCAAGCACCAAAAACAGAGCAGTGGCTGGTGACCTGAGCCAGGCGTGTGGGAAGAAAGGCAGCACTTCCCCACTGCTGGGCCCGGGCCCACGCCAGCTGTGGGGAGGCCAGGAGGCCAGTAGGACGGCAGGACATTAGGGGCTCTGCTGGAGCCTGCTCCCACGACAGACCCACAGGCCTGGGAAGTGCCTGGGAAGCCAGCCCTGAGGAGCCACCACAGGCTGTCCATGGCCTGCTGCCCTGCTGGCCTGCTGCCCTGCTGGGCCAGGCCAGTGGCCATGCACCTCCTGCCTCTGCAGAGTGCACTCAGGCCCAGGGCCCTCAGGGTGGAGCATCTGCTGACGTGAGGAAGGGTGGGGAGGAAGGAGGCCACCGGCCACAGCCCTGCCTCCGGTCACTGGTGCCCTCTGCAGGTTCTTCTGAGCTGCTCCATCGGTGTCTCCCATGGGACACAGCACACAGGCCCCAGGCCACCCAGAGGCCGGGTGCTGCCTGGACCTGCTGAGCTTGGGCTCCCAGAGGTGCTGAGGCGGCAGCTGCCCTGCTGCCCAGGGCTCCGGTTTCTCTGTGGAAAGTTAATTTCTGCTTTTTGAAGCTTCTTGGTGTTCAGTTCCTTTGCAACTGAGCACTGTCCTAAAGCCCACTCTGGCCCTGGAGAGGGCTCCAGATGCTCCTGGCCATCTCTCTTATTTTCTGATGGGAACATCATTCAGTGAGAGGCAGGTCCACTTGAAGCTGGCAGGACCTCCTGGGTCCTGAGCTCTCCTGGGCCTTCATGTCTCTCACCCATGGAGGCTGCGTGTGGGGCCTGGGGTGTGCTGTCCCCTGGGGAGCTGCACCAGGGTTGGGGCTGGCTTCTGGGAGCTCCCCAGCCCGGGGCCCAGGAAGCAGGTGCAGGCTGCTCCCGGGGAGGCCACAGCCAGCCTTGGGAGCTGTAGGAGTGGAGCTGAGCAACGCCTGGAGTCAGGAGGTCACTCCGCCCCAGGGCACCCGGGCAGGGCCACTCCCATCATACTAGAGCAAACACTCCATCTCTCTTATTGCTTTATTTATCCTTTGTTCAGAAAGGATACGGGGAACCTTGGCCAAAGAATGTGAGGACAGAAGTGAGATAAAAATAGTACATCCACCAGTGTTCCCTCTAAAAATACAGCAGCAGCGGCCCTCGCTATTTTTAATCAGACCAGAAAGTCCTGGGGAATGCAGGGCAGGTGGCCACTGGCCCTCCACACAGGCTGCCTGTAGGAGGCCAGCGGCACCCCTGAGCCTGTCCCAGGGAGGCCAGGGGGAGAGCCCAGCATCAGTGGACGCTGGCTGCAGCTCTGAGTGGGGAAGGGACTCCTCCCTGGAGAGGCCTGAGACCAGCGGTGTGGAAGGGGGGGTGCAAACCATCCTGAGCCCAGGGAAGAGGGCAGGGCTCCCGGGGACCCCCCTGACCCTGAGCAGCTCTTCACGTCTGCCCAGGTGTTGAAGACCCACGTGTCAGCACTGCCCTCCTGCGCGCCCCTGTGAGGTCAGACGTGGTTAGAATTTCACGGTTCTTTGCCATTTCAGCTATGATCTTTTAATGATGTGTCCATCCACAGTATTTATTAACTTCCTTCTTGGTATCCTTCTTGGTAGATAAACAATTCTAAAATGGGTCAGTCAGAAAAAAATAACTAAATGTGTTTTATTATATCCTTTAAGTTTTTACTAACTTCATTCAGCTAGAAATGATTTTTAAGAAAGAAAATAGCTGGATCGGGGATGTGTTCAATGGCAGAGGGCTCTTGCAGCACGCAGGCTCTGTGTTCAATTCCCAGGCTGAAAAAATAAAGTATGTCACAAATCTCTTCCTTGTATCTGTGAAGGGCTGTACAGGCAGCAGCCAGGGAGCAAGGGCGAGCCCACCAGAGGTGCGGGAAGGGCAGAGGTCAGCAGGGCTCTGGCCCAGGACGCCCCAGCATGGGTGCAGATCTTAGTGTGTGCTGGTGGAGGAGGGGACACCTCCCCCAGGTCACCGGGCAGCTCTGTGCCCATGACGGGCAGCGTGCAGGCATCTTTCCTGATCAGCACAGGCCACAGGCAGCACCCTGCTGGTGTGGAGGGACAGCTGGACAGCTGTGGACAGCTGCTTCAGGCCCCACGGAGCCTCCCCAGCCTGTCCAAGTCCAGCTTGAAACAGAGGGTGCTCAGCTCACGCGTGACTGCAGCACAGAAGAAAGCTCAAACCTGTTGGAGAAACAAAGAGCAGAGAAAGCACCGGTAAAGCCAGTGACAGGAGAGCCACAGGCTCACTGCACCAGCAGCCGCACACTTGACACTCAGGACACACACAGACCGAGGCTCAGACGAGGACGCAGGGTGTGCTGCCGGGTCACGAGAAGAAACGGGACGCAGCGCTTCAGGAGAGCCAAGGTCTGGACTCTGCTCGAGGCTCGGATCCTTTGCTGATGCGAGTGGAACTCCAGCAAGGCCAGGGAGAGACAGAAAGGCTCTCTGGTTGGGTTGATCAGCAGAGCCAAGTGGTCACCTCTGGGCAGAGTGGCCAGAGGTGGAGGTCCTGAACAGCCAGGATGACTTTGGGGGCCGGAAGTAAGCATGATCCTGCGCAATATCGCCATCTCTCCTTTTGCCTGCACAAGGTAAAAGGTGCCTGAGAGCATGCCCCGTCCCCCAGCTCATAAGCTGCGGATCTCAGTCCTCGCAGATGACCTTTGGTCAGGCCTGCTGCCGAGGGCGCTCTCCGAGAGGGCACTGAGCAGGGAGGCAGCTGGGGAAGGCCCTCCTGCCCTGGCTCTAGAGCCGTGGGCACCAAGGTACACTCAACCCTGGGCGCTTGGCCAGCTCTCTGCCGGGCCCCGCCCACCCGCCAGCCTCTGCGGTGGAGATGCTTCTCCCCAGGTGGCCTGGAAGGGACAGAATGGGCGTGGGCAGTGGGCTCTGGGCTCCCAGGTCTGCTTGTGACTTGATGTTTCCTGGTTGTGGAGAGGTTTCGGGGGAATCGGGGAAGGGACACTTGGCAGAGAGCCTGCAGGCCTTCCCCTCAGTCCAGTGAAGACCCTTTAGCCTGTTCAACGCGACTGTGCAACTGTGCCCCCCCTTTTTGGGGGGTACAAGGATTGAACCCAGGGGAACTTAACCACTGAGCCACATCCCCAGCTTTTATTTTTTATCCTCCCTTTTTAATTTTTATTTTAAGATAGGGTCTTGCTAAGTTGCTGGCTTTGAACTTGTGGTCCTCCTTCCTCAGCCTCCCAAGTCCCGGGGATCACCGCTGCACACCACCTTCCCTGGCTAACTTGGACCCTTTCTGTCCACTCTAATGAAGATCCAGGGCGCCACCCACAGTAACCCAGCAGAAGACTTCTGGGCACACTTGGCCTTTTCTGCCTTAGCAGCTGAGGTCCACATGTCCACCACAGGCAGGGACCTGCAAAGAGAGTTCAGTGTGCCTCCGGCCATCAAACAGGAAGGCTCCAGTTTTTAAAGGAACAGTAATACCTACCCCATTCGGGAATGTGCTGAGACAGGTGAAGCTGATGGGACCAAACATCAGCTCTTCTTTTTCAAAATAAAGCAATTTGGCAATAAACCCTTGCTGGGCTCGGTGGCCGGTGCCTGTAATCTCAATGGCTCAGGAGGCTAAGGCAGGAGGATCCAGAGTTTAAAGCCGGCCTCAGCAAAACTGAGGCACTAAGCAACTCAGTGAGACCCTGTCTCTAAGTAAAATAGGACTGGGGATGGGGCTCAGTGGTGGGATGTCCCTGTTGTCCCTGGTACCAAAACAACATCAAAAAAAAAAAGTGCAGACTTAGTAATTCTGTTTAGGACTCATATTAATATTCCACTTTTTATTAAAATATTAAAAAACAATCTGCTTGTGTGGTACTTATTATTCAAGATAAAGACACAGATGACATGAAAGTCCATTAACAAGAGATCGTTAAAATAAACTGTGGCATGTTATTCAGCAAAATGTTATAAAGCCATTTAAAATTGTTTTTAAAACATAGTTTTCTGAAATGAAGTGTCTCGCCACTTGGAGTTTAAAATCCCCTACGACGGTAGGTTACATATACACGGATATAAAGGGGAGAGTAGGATACACGCGGCGAGGGGCGGTGTCCCTGGTGGGCAGCAGTCGGCCTGCAGATCCCAAGGACCACACTTAGCTGACATGCTCAGTGGCCAAGGATCCCGGCCCCAACAGGCTCAGGCCCCCTGCCCCTTCTGGTGACTCTGCCTAAGTGACCATGCCCAGTGGGCCTCAGTTCCCGTCTCGGGGCTGGGGGCGTGGCAGGCGAGCCACCCGGAGTAGGGCGCCGCAGGTGGGTGGGCCAGGTCACCGCCCCCTCCGCACCTGCGACCCGCGGCGCCACGACACCGCCTCTGGCTCGGGGCCAGCAGAGGGCGCTGCTGTCCCCGGAGCCCAGCCCGCGGAGCCCCGGGAGGTGCGGCTGCGCAATCCCGCACCGCGCCGCAGGTCGGCTGCTGCCCACACCGGGGCCTGGCGGTTTGCTGGAACCAGTCGGAGCCGGCAGAGGCGAGTCGGCACACACACACCGGGCGGCCACCGCCGGGCGGAAGCGCCTCCCGAGCCTTGGGGAGCAGGACCCAGAGCCCTGCAGCAGCTGCCAGCTCCGATCCCTGGCTCTGGGTCCTGTCGGCGTGTGTCGCGCCGACGTGTGCGCTGTCGCCTGGGTGGTGGACGTGGCGTGCGCCGCAGCGCTCCGCCTGGGAGTGGGACGCCGGGTGAGCCCGGTCCTGCGCAGCGCTCGCTCAGAGCTGGCTCGGTGCCTGCGGAGCCTGGGCGCGGGCCCAGCGGTGTCGCCAGCGCAGCTCGCGGCCCGGGCGTCTGGGAGCCGGTGCCTCTTTGGAACCGCCCTGCCCCGCCCCTCCGACTCGTGACACGGACGGGTGCTGTGGGTTTGCGCGTCCCGTCCCCTCCTGCTGTGAAGACCTGGACAGCAGGGGCGCTGGTCCCACCCTGGGCAGCTCGGCAGAGGGTGCACGATGGAGGCGCGGTGACGCCGTGACCCGGGGCTGCAGGCGGAGTGCGGCTGTGGACTAGCACAGTGCAGCTGTGCCCAGGGCAGCGAGGAGGCGCAGCGACGGCGGTGGCCACGAACCCTTGCGGGAGGACTTCCGTGTTGGGGAAGGCACCCATCTGAGCTGGCCTTAAAGCCGGTCTGTCACTTCTCCCCGCGCGTGGCCCTGCCAGGGAGGCTCAAGGAAAGAGCCAGAGACCATAATTCTTGCAGAGGCCAATGAAAATGCCAACCAGAGGCCAGGAGGCGAGAGCCAGTGTTCACCTCCTGAACAGAGTCTCCTGTCAGTGCGAAGTATGGGAGGTGGCCTCGTCCTGGCCAGTGGGAGGAGACGCTTGTGGTGAGGTCAGCACCTCCAGGTCCTCTGTGCTCCTGCAGATGGGGAGGGGGCTGAAGAAGCAGGGAACCCACACCAGGGCTCCCCGGATCCGTCCTGGTGCCTACGGACAGGCAGGAAAGGCGGGGGTCCCTGCGTGGGACGTGCTGTTTGTGTCGCAGGAACCCCTCTGCCACAGGGGGCCACCGGACTGCCAGAGGTTAGCAGGTCACAGTCCTTTTTTAAAACTGGCAAGGGCTGGGGATGTGGCTCAAGCGGTAACGGGCTCGCCTGGCATGCGCCGGCGCTGGGTTCCATCCTCAGCACCACATAAAAATAAAAAATAAAAAGACGTTGTGTCCACCGAAAGTTGAAAAATAAGTATTAAAAAAAAAACCTTGGCGAATCCTACTTTTTCTGTGGACTTCCTCTTTGTCCCTGCTGGTGCGTGTGACCGAGGCTCTTTGTGGTACTTGGATATGGCCTCGCCTGGCCCTCGTCAAACTCCATAGAGGCTTTAACTATTGTGTTTTATTGTAACGTAATTTGTATCCTGTTTTAGTCCCCTTTGTCCTTGCTCTGACCAGAATCTTGACAAGAAGAGTGAGAGGAGGAAAGGCACCTGAGGCTCAGGGTTTCAGAGGTCAGTTACTCCTCTGGGCTGCGGTGAGTGAGGCAGAGCATCCTGGGAAGGAGTGTGGCCCGGACAGGGCGGCAGCCTGGCCCCAGGAAGCAGAGCTGAGCTCAGCTCACAACCCGAGGCAAACCCACCTGCCTGCAGGGACCCGCCAGTCCACCTTCTCACTCTGAGCCTTCCTGCCTGGTCCCGCAGGAGAGCTTTAGGGGGACCTCACATCCGAGCCGAGACACATCCCCTGCCATTCGCCCACTGAAACGCACCATTTGTGGTTCTTGGATACAAGTTGTGCCAGCCGGCACCGCTGTAGGGACAGAGGAGGCAAGGCACCGAAGACAGCAGGACACAGTGTTATTTGGCTGTGGCCAGGTTCAGAGGGCACAGCTTTTGCTGTGATCAATCAATCCCCTGAACCCCGAGTTCAGGGAGTTTCAGAGTTTTATACCCAGTGTGTAAGGGGAGGGGCTCAGAAGTTCACAGTCTGCAGCAGTTCACATAAATCAGCTTTTTCTCTCACTGTTTTGGGCAAGTTAACTCTTCAAGGACCACACCTGAGAAGGGGGGAGCTTCTTCTCCCCTCTCTCTCCTCCCCCTGCCAGCTGTTACCATGGAGCCCCTTTATAACTTATCCTAAAAATGTACACATCTCTGTGAAGCCCAGCTCAAGGCCAGAGGCCTTGTTTGCACATTTCTACAAACTACTGTACTGGATACGTTTGTGAAAAACTAGTAAGGGGTGTCCAGCACCTGGAAGGATGGTATCTTCCCCGCCAGTGGCCAAGTAAACAGGGCGACACGAAAATAGCAAGTTTATCTACAGGGGACTCTTTTGAAGAGACTCTTGCTGACAGTCCTAAGATCAGCCATGGTGGAGATTTCTGGAGAAGCCCAGGTTAGACCCTCCTGTGGAGAAGGGGCCCCTCCAGCACCACAGCCTCTCCCAGGACCCTCCATCCTGGAGCCACACCCAGCCCACCCTGCCCCCTGGACTGCACCCTGCTCTGCCCCGCGTCTGCCTCTCTGGGTGCTGTGTTGCCCTGTCTGTACTGAGGCTTGTGTTTTTGGTTTGTTTTGTTTTTGGTGCCGGGTTTCAAACCCAGGGCTGCTTAACCTCTAAGCCCCTGCCCCTTTTTCATTCTTCAGTATGTTTATTTATTATTTGTTCTAATTAGCTCTACATGACAGTAGGATGCACTTGGACACATCCTACATAATGGAGCAGACTCCTCATTCTCTGGTTGTACATGATGTGAGATCACATTGGTCCTTGATCCCATGTGGACACAGGTGATACCGTCAGTTCACTCTGCTGTCCTTGCTACCTCCACATCCCCTCCCTCCCTCACTCTCCTCTGCCTATTCCAAAGTAACTCTATTCTTCCCTAGCCCCCCTTATTGTATTTTTTTTAAAGAGAGAGTGAGAGAGGAGAGAGAGAGAGAGAGAGAATTTTTAATATTTATTTTTTAGTTTTCGGTGGACACAACATCTTTGTTTGTATGTGGTGCTGAGGATGGAACCCGGGCCGTACGCATGCCAGGCGAGCGCACTACCGCCTGAGCCACATCCCCAGCCCCTTTCTTGGCCTTTTGGATTCATGTGTCAGATGTCGTGTTGAATTGTCCTTTGTGAAGAGCCCCTCCTCACCGAGACAAGGCTCTGCCTCCCCCCGTACCCCATGTTAGAATGACTCCACACAGACTAGACTTCAGCTCCTTTACAGCCGTTCAAAAGATTGATTTTTGTTGTAAAGATTACTGTGATCTCAAACAGTGAATATAATATGTAACTAAGTAAAGTTTCAAGATAATAAAAGGCATTTTCCTTAGTTTCCAGCTATTACACAAACGGAATGTTTTTGGTCTGTTGATTTCATTTTGTATTTTCCCTGTAAAATTTATAACTGTTGCCTATTAGAAGTATTCATTCATTAAAAAACAAAAAAACCTGGGTTAATCTGAGATAATAAGCCACCACCTACAGGATAGACAGTACACAAGGCTGACTTCCAGTACTCATACCACCGTAATTAAATGGAAGTGGGATCTGTGAAATCCTAGATATCAAGTTATGGCTTGTTACTCCCTCTTGAACATTGGTGAAACTAGCTTCCTGGGTGTTTAAAACCAAAAACAGCCAAAGTCAAGGAAGTAAAAGGGCCGAGCAAAAAACAGCCCATATTTTGGCACTTAGCCTCTAAGGTCCGCCAGGACCTGAGGAACAGAGGACCCTCTCTGGGCCCTGCGACTCCAAGCCACTGAGGGGACCTGAAGAACAGGAGGCCAACCAGTGACACTGCAAAGAGGAGGGCCACCAGAGATAGAGGTCTCCCTGGTGCTCCCAAAGGAAGCCATGTTTGATAGCCAGACCCGACCCATCCTGGCAGGTGGCTGGTGGAGGAAAGCTACGGGACGGGCAGGAGGCTTCGCACATGTCCCCAAGAGTGACCCCTGAGGAGTCTCAGCTGACTCCTAAGACTAGATAGAAACAAGGTCAGTTTTTACCAACTTGGTCTAAACAGCTGGCAGGAGAGTAGAACCTAAAAGCACCGTCCTACATGGACATTTAAAAGAAAAAAGAAGATGTTTTAAAATATAAATTAAGATGGACTGATGTCAGCCCTGCTAACAGTCAGTAAAGCTCAAGGCTATAAAGGAAGGGCTCTTGGCTGTGAGTGTCTAATAATAGTAATCACAAGAGTTACAGATTTATCC